CATGAACTGATATCACTTCTTGTTCTGGCCATCCTTAACCGTATTATGACCTAGTCTGGCTTCTTTTAGCACTGAAGTTTGACGTAAGCGGTGCATCAGCATACACAGCACATGTTCAAGCCATCTCAACCGATGAAGGTTCACAACCTCGTCTATGGAGTTGGATGTCTTGCCAAGAACCCTTTTATTAAAATCAACATTGCTAATATGTTGATTTCAACACACGAGCAATGCTATGAAGACAAGTGTGATTAGAAACTTGTAACCGCTGCATGTCTTCTACTTTCATTCGACATTTCTCACAGCCGTATAACAGGATGAAACGAATAGAAATGCAGTATATTCGTCTTTTCACAGATAATCGGATATTTCTTCAAGTTAGTGAATGGCGAACGGGACTTCTGCATCCGAACTGAGATTTCGTTAGCAACCAGTCCTTTAAGGCAATGAGAATGATGGTCTAGTGACAGATGCCTTATTTATTTAGTGAGAAGGTTATAAGATGCCATCTGATCTTCGAAGTGGCCTGAGATAAATTCAACCTATGATTGAAACTGTTCGCATCATCATAGAACAGAGAATAGAATGACAGTCAACTATCCACCTCAACTTCATCAACTTTGAAATGGCCTTCGACAGCGCCAACCGAGAAGTAATTTGACAGGCAGTTGCTTCAACAATACGGCTTTATTATCACAAATATTTATCAACCTCATTCAACAACTATGTGAAAACGCAACATGCCAGGTGATCCACAATGGAAAGCTCAATGATGCCTTTGAAGTGAAGACAGGGGACAGGAGTAAGACAAGGCTGTCTATTATCACCCATGATTTTCCTGATTGTGGTGGACTGGATCATGCGGCAAACTGTGAGGAGCGAGAAGACAGGCATACGTTATTTGACCTGTGGAAAGACCTCAGAAGATTCAGATTTCACGGATGCTTTGTGTCTGATGTTGCACAAATTCGAAGATGAACAGGCGAAATCCAACAAGTTGACAGAAGAGGTAGGGCAGGGCAAGGCAGGGTGGAGAAGACGGGAGATCCTTCAGATGAACGTAGAGAAGACAGAGGTGATGAAGATACCCAATCAACAACGGCATCAACAACAGCAAGCTCCAATCACCATGAACGGGAGGAACATAAAGGAAGTAGTCTGTTTCATCTACCTAGTTGAGGCAGCATCGTTTCATGTACAGGCGGCACAGGCATGGACGAGGACGTGAAAGCGAGGATCGGAATAGCACAACAGGCGTTCATCAACCTGTAACCAGTGTGATCTGCTGCACTGCACTGCACTCATCACAAAGCGTGAACAATATCCGGATTTTCAACACTAACTTCCATCAAGTCAGTGGTGCTATGTGGTTCAGAGGCTTGGTGCGTTACGAAAGGCATTTCGAAGAAACTACAGATATTCATCAACAACTGCTGACTACGCTGACTGGATACTGAAGATGGAGATGAGATGGCCAGAGTAATAAGAATAAGCAGTAAGGAACTCTGGCTGACTGGCTGGCAAGGAACCAACGAAGTAAGAAGCTATGGCTCAACAAGTGTGCAGAAGTGGAGATGGATTGGGCATGGAGTGAGAAGACGATTCGGGGACAACACGCACCAGGCCAGGTCGTCAAGTGGAACCCCGATGGGAAACGGCGAGTAGGGCGACCGAGGTGAGGGTGACAATGAGGAGATAGTGTGAGTAAGAAATGAGAGGTTGTGGGCAGTGATGGAGCCATGTTCAGAAGAATGCAGAGAAGAGAGTGGAATGGAGGCGTGCTACTGAGTCCTATGTTCCACTAGGAACCCAAGGGACAAATAATTGTAATATAATAATGTTATCGGATTAATTCCATATTATTGATGTCTAGAGTTTTAATTTCACAATTCTACTTGAAAAAACGTGTCAAATTTCTGTAGTTAGGATTAATATTTTTAAAGTTGCTAAATAGTAACTTTTTATACCTCAGTCCATTGTTTGAGCTATCTGTTAACTGTATTGTAATCATGCTATAATTTTAGATTCTGATATTAGATATGTAAAGTGGTGTGAATTCCAAAACTAACTTGACTGTCTTTGGTGGAAGAATTCAGAGAACACATTGCATAGATTAGTAATCAAATACTTGCTTTCTAAAGGCAAGTTTCACCTGTGCATTCTGAGACTTTTCTATGGTTTTACTTCTTTCTCATACAGTGTATTGAGGAATTATCTACGGGTAAATGAGTAGTAGATCTTAGATTTATACATATATGCAGGTCAGTCCATGATGAATACTTTTTCTAAATTAAAAATCCCAATTAATCTCAAAAATACATTACTCTATAGTGCTCATTAGTGACTTGCTTCCAGATGGATGTTAGGAAGTTCTAATGAAAAGTCGTGACCTGTGGGGTCAACCAGTCGGAAGTGAAGTGGATGCTAACTGAAGACGTTGGATGACAGTCGCGCTATGTCATGAATTGACAGAAGTTGGAAATTGTGAACCACTGGAAACCGACCCAGTGGCTGAATGGTTAACGCGTTCGCCGTGAAACCTGAAGGTCCTGATTTCGACCCCTAGCCGGGTCGTGGGTGCGTACTGCTGAGGAGTCCAATACTAGGACGAAGCAGCTGTCCAGTGCTCCCAGATTTTCAATGGTTCCCCAACTGATGTCGGTCCATGATGGATACTACTTCTAAATATGCAGGTGTTCAGTTTTGATTGATGTATTCTGATGAATACTTCTGTTTCATCTCATCTTCTTGTATTCATTTTCCAAATTTTCTATATGTTTAAATCTTTAAACATCAACCGTTTTATCAACAATGTTATCTGTGAAAATGTTGGCCAACGTGATCATTGTGCTAATAATTTTTGCGAAGTGTGAAGCAATGAGTTTGAGGAAATGAATAGAAGTTTCAAGGAATTGTGACAGCACATTGTTGAAATAGTTCACAAAATCATTTCTCTTAGTATTCTAAAAAGTTACCAAATCTTGTTTTTTTTTCTTATCTACATGTTGTATAGACATTGAAGGGATTTTTGACACTCACTTGAACTAATTTACTGACTTATTTTGCTTATATATGTGTCGAAAAATGGTTTTAGAGATAAATCTACAGAAAAATTATGAAATTCCTGAAATAAAGGTTTGACTGTCAGATGATTAATTTCCAGCTTTCAGTTCAATAAACTTATGTCCGTAAAGCAGTTACAGCAGAATATTAAGACTTGGAAAGTGATAACAATCAATAGGAACGGTAAACACTTCACGTATACTTATATGCTAACAGATGAAATGATGGCAAACGAGATGATCAGATGAAATCACAGTTTATTCCTTATTTGAAATTGATAGGAAATTGCTTAAACGAAAATAAACATTTTAAGTTGCCAACTGCCAATTTCAGTTTTTGTTTCTTGTCATTATGTGGTAAGGAAAAATCTTATCGGACAACTTTCTCCTGTAGTTGACTAATCACAATAAACTAGTGAACTTTGAATTTTGAGGGAGTTGTTGGGGATTTGGGAATATTTCAAGTTGTTATTCATCATGGACTGAGATCAGTGGGAGGAAAACTGGAAACCTGGGAGCACTTGACAACTGTCTCTTCCTAGCATGTAACTCTTCAACAGTGCGCACCCACAATCCCACCAGGAGTCGAACCCACGACTTACTGGTTCCGTGGCCAGCACGTGGCTGACTTCGAGAAGTGATTCTCGAAGTTCCAATGAGAAGTCGTGACCAGTGGGGAAAACCTGGTGGCCATGAGAACAAATGCTCAACGATGATATTGGGTGGAGGTTGCACTATGTCGTGAACTGAAAGAAGTTGGAAATATGGACGACTGGATTGGAACACAGTGGCTGGATGTTAACGTGCTGGTCATGGAACCTGAATGTCACGTGTACTGTCTGTGGTTGGCTGGAGTCGTGTGTGTGCACTGTAGAAAATTCCCATACGAGTGGAACGAAACAGGTGTCCAGTGCTCCCAGATTTCGAATTTTTCTCCAGGTGATATCAGTCCGTGTTGAATATGAAGTGGGGAAATGTGTTTCACCTTCCGTTTACTTTTAGTTGAAAAGGCTGTATAAATTCTGTTACTTAGATCGAAGCATTTTACAGATGCTCAATTTAGCTTAATTTCTTTTCGAAATGTTGCCGGACAAACCGAACGCCTAATGTTATCTGATCTGTGGTGTTTAAATGTTGTGTATAAGTCAAACTGACGATTGAACATATGGATTTACAGCAAAACACATAAAATGCAGCATTTTTGGTCTATATCGTGTTGAGAGAAAGAAACAAACATTTATTAGGAGGAAAATATGCCAACAAAATGTTTTGTTAAGTTACACTCTGTGTTATCTGCAGTTCTTATGGTGAATAGATTGAATATTCCGATAGAGTTGGAGTTGATCATCTGTACTAGAGGCCAGGTAAGTGTACTTTTCTGCAGTGAATGTAGAATAGCTGACCGCAATAGGCAAAAAATATATTGATAATAACTAGAAAATATGTATTTGAATATTCACCTTCACAAATAATTGACTACTGAAAAATTTAAGAGTATTCGATAGGACCTAATTTCCTCGAATTATCTTCCGCTTTTCTTGTTCTTCATCTTTTATGATTACTTTCTTGACCAGTATCTCATCCCATGGACTGCTACACTACGTCATCCATGGTATCAATTTGTCTTGAATATTGGTTTATCCATTCTCTTAATCGTAAAACCAATGGAGGATAGGGGTTAGGTTGGTTCTCCAGCAGATATCCGTCCATAATGAATAACAAGTTAAAGCCATTAAAATCTGCTGAAACTTCCAAGTTGAATTACTCTCCTATACTCAATAGTGACTTACTTCAAACAGAAGTTTTGGCCAGTGAAACAAACCAAGTCGAACATGAGGATAGGTACTCGACGATGGCATTGTATGAAGTTCACATCATGTCATAAACTGTAGACTTTTGGATTTCGGACCCAGTAGAAAGTTTTCGTCATAAAGTTCGAAGGTTCTGTGGTCAATTCGTGATGAGTTCATGAATGTGCCTTGGTAAGGCTTCTTATACTCTCAGATTTTCAACGGTTTCCTAAATGATATCACTCCGTATGATTTTGGTTTATTGTACGGAAAAGATGAAGTATACAAGAAAAGGTGTTTCAATGATGAAGTAAAAGGGCAAAACAGAAACTGAAAAAAATATGATATACCTGTTTTCTTTCAAATTATATCAAAAATGTATGTAAAAGTTAACCAAGCAAGAAACATTTTCAAAAAAAACTTTGAAATTAGATAAATCGTGTTTGTATAGCTACTGTTATTGTACTTCATTGTCTTTTATTATTCTTCTCCGTCTTTTTATCTTTAATTCATTCGAGAACATTGTCTAATTGTATTGACTTTCGATTGCCACTAATCACTGTGATTGGTGCAAATGGATGATTAGTATCCTTTAGATAATTCTAGAATAAAAAAACAATTATTTAATTGTTCTCAATATAAAGAAAAAATATAAAATAAATAAAATTAGAAAATAGTCTTCATTATGGACTGACATCAATTGGTGAAATACTGAAGATCTGAGAGGATTTCATAACTATTTTGTCATAGTATGAAACTCCTCAACAGAATGACCTTAAAACTACCGCTCAGGATCATCGAATTTTCTTGAGAAATGAGTTGTCATTCAGTTAGTGAATTAGAATTCAATAGTTACTACTCATTACATCTGTTTATTTGTTTGACAGTACCATTCTGAAGCAAAATAACAATGAGAATCCATGATGATAACTACTTTCAAATCAACTAAGTCTTTACAAACTGTCAATTTAAATAAAATTAGCTTAATTTTTAGAGAATTCTAATTCTTTGCTTTTATTGTAGCATTGTTGAATATAACTAACAAGTTGGTAGAAGAGGCAGGGAAGCGAAGACGGGACTTCAAGTGAATATAGAGAAGACAGAAGTGATGAAGATACCGCACCACCACCATCAACAAACTCCAGTCACCATCAATGGGAGAAACTTAAAGGAAGTAACCTCCTTCACCTATCTAGGAAGCATTGTTTCAACTACAGGCGGTACAGACGAGGATGTCAAAGTCAGCCAGGATCGGAAAAGCAAGACAGGCCTTCATTAGCCTGAAACCAGTGTGGAGATTTTCTGTACTCAGCATGTGGAACAACATCCGGATTTTCAACACCAACGTCAAGTCAGTGCTTCTGTATGGTTGAGAGACTTGGCGCGTTACGAAATGGATTTCCAATAAACTACAGACATTCATCAACAACTGCTGACTACGCTCTCTACTGAAGATCAGATGGATTGCCAGAAAGAATAAGCAACAAGGAACTCTGGGAACGAACCAACCAAGAACCTATCACCCAACAAATATGCTCTGGAAGGAAGTGGAGATGGATTGGGCATGCACTGAGAAGGCCGACTGAGGACATCACGCGTCAGGCCAGTTGCTCGAGTGGAATCCCCATGGGAAGCGACGAGTTGGACTTCCGAGGGTGACATGGAGGAGGTGGTGCGAGGAGGAAATGAGAGGTTGTGGGCTGTCGTGGAACCGGGTTGAAAATATTTCAGAGAAGAGAGTTCACTGGAGACGTGCTAGTGAAGCCCTATGTTCCACTAGGAACCCAAGGGACTAATAATAATAATAATAATAATAATTGTTGAATATAAAGATTTTTATTCACCTGTCTGCTAGATTATCTGGCAACAGCTCAACGCCAGTTAACATGAGAGTCTGTTAGTTATATCTAATTATCAGTTAAATATGACTTTGTAATCAAATGCTTTATGACAGATTGGAATTCATTATGGACTGAGGGCAGTTGGAGGAATTTTGGAAACCTGGGAGCGGTGGAAAGCTGTTTCGTCCTTGTATGGGACTCCTCAGAAGTATACACCTATAACTCCACCTCTGCAGGGATCGATGATAATGAATTCCAACGTGAAATCAATTAATACATCTTCACAAACCTTTGGATTGAATTGAACTGGGGCTTATTGGGGACTCTGACTTCGAGAGGTGATTCTCGAAGTTCAAATGGAGTCAATCAAATCGAACATGAGGACAGTTACCCAACGACTACATTGGATGTAGGTCAAACTACGTTGTGAACTGACAGAAGTAGGAAATATGGACCATTAGATTCCGACTCAGTGGACAAATGATAACCTGCTGGCCACGGAACCCGTAGGTCCTCGAATCGATCCCTGACAAGTCGGAATCATAAGTGCGCACTGCTGAGACATCTTATACTAGGACGAAGGAGCTGTTCACTGCCCCTGAATTTTCAGTGGTCCTCAAAGTGATGTCAGTCTATGATGCATTCGAATCCGAGACACGAATCTACTTCGACTGAAGGGATCAAACGTGAATAAAATGCTGTTATTCCATTACGATCTCCTGTCTGAAAACAAAATTATTATCGCATCAAAAGCGTAAAGCAACCTACTAATGAGCTGAGATTAGAACCGTTCCAACATGATGAATTCGAAACAGTTTGGGAACCATTAAAAACCTCCAGATATTGGGCAGCTGTTTCTTCCCAGCATGAGACTCCTCAATACTGCGCACAAATGACCCCCAAACGATATCAGACCATAGTGAAAACTAAATTTGAATCAGTAAATGCTTACAAGCCTCCAAAATTGGAGGTTGTGGATTCATGGGTGCGAACTGCTGAGGAGTACTAAAGTAGGACGAAATAGCCTTCCAGTGCTCCCAGGTTTCCAATGTTCCTCCAACTGATGTCAGTCCATGATGGATTCCAACCTAAAAACTAATTAATAAACCTCCACAAACGTCTAGATTGAAATGCTTTTTTTTGAAATTATACTTAACAGTATTTAAGCTAACTGTGGTATGTTGAGATGAAGAAAGATTACTGAACATTTCATATATATACGGCCACTGAGTTCTAACTCACTAACCGAAGAGTGACTGCGATAATTTCATAACCAGATAGGGTAGGGGCTACCAGTCCCATGCCGAACCTTGTCTTCTTGAACGTCATTATCCAAGAACCTGGTAGACCGATCCCCTCATCGAGCAGGGAAAACGAATACTAATGCCAAAGAACTCTGTTAACACCCCTTCAAAACTAACCAGGGAAACTTAAAACCCTTTTAAACTGTCAGGATTTAAGGCATCCGCATTCACCGTGTAGTCGTTTCGCTTGGTTGTATTCACCTCCACGTAGGGAGACGTAGTTGGGACACGCCTCAATAGGCCTTCATTATCATGCAGAAGAATCATAGCCCAACTTTCTGAAAGATTATTTCCCTCTAACCAACATTTCAGAAACAAGAGCTGCTCCTAGGCTACCCATCAGAAGCCATGGTTAGGGCAAAACGATGCCCTTTATTCTAGACTGAATACCGCTCACCTTTTCAAAGATGACCACATCAGCTCTCTTGGGACTGTTTCAACAACAGTGACTACCAGAGTTAGGAAGCTGGATTCCCTCACCTTTCTACTCCACTGCTCCCAGAGCACTAAAGAGTATCCTGATGGCTAGATGGCCTGTCTGTGCTTTGCAGACCTGCACCACTGGTCAGCGCATATAGATCTCGTCGACCGCCAATTCTACTACTTTATCTATGACGTTTTATTAGTTGGTATCTGACTGGGCTACAAGGAAACTCACTGTGGTTGTGTAGCTAGGCTTCACCAATAATCACTGGTTAACATATCATCCCTGGCTTTCCTGGCCAGTAGCTCAAACACTCACAACACCTAGTCACGCCGTGTCAAGCTTCTTCACATTAACACCCTAGAATGCAGCTACAGCTGGTCATCATATGGGAGCCATAGTTACTTCCATCACAACTAGATGGGTTATGGTAGTGCACTACTGAGATGTTTAAAACTATTTAAAATGCAGCCTATGAGTTAATTTTTGGCTTGTAAACACTCTCTACTTCATCATCAAAATGTAGCTACAGCCAATCGATTTCCTAAAAATAAAGCTACTGAATAGTAGAACACATGGTGTTACTTTTTCAACGAACCTATCGTTTTTTGTAATCATTATTAACCTGTTGAATGGATTCATTCAATAAGGTTATATTATGTTTTACCAGTCTGTGTAAGAGTTCAAGGTCAAACACTTTATGTTAGTATTCCATTTTATTTTCTACTGCCTTTCGAATGTCCCGAAAATGAACCAATATTATTTCATCTTGTCATCTTGTCGTTTCTGTGCATTTATAATTATATTTCAGTATATGTTGACCAATATGGTGTTTTCAGCTGATATAATAAGTGATCTTTCCACTTTCTAGTCTTCTATTCTTTGAAAATAAATACATATAAACTGTATTAGATTATATACTGTGACTGAGATATAATCCTAACTTATTTTTTGATTCCTTCAACTACTGTATAAGTGTGTTTATAATAGCGAAATCGAAAATTAATAGTTAGTACAAAGTCTTGGAATCTTTAGTCCTGTGTTAGAAAGAAAAGTCTGATCATTCACAGCATATCTAAAGATTATGCAGATATTTTGAGGTGCTTAGATAACATAAACTATCATATATTCACAGAGTTTGGATAGTAGCATCTTTTTTTTAGTACCCTGATATAAACGAATTTGAGACTTTTCAAAAAGATATCACGAGATGAAGGTGAATATCTGTGTAGATACCTAAGTAAATGTGTTTTCCAAACTCAAATTACCTAGACTAAGGCTTTTAGTGACACATTAGTCATTTGCTTTGGCGTCAACTGATCACTAGAATATGATCAATACTTGTGAAATTAGAAATGTATATCTCACCATCTTGTAACCGATTCTTATTCCATTCTTTTGTTAACTATTTTTGTCATATAATTTCTTACTACTTATTATTATTGCTAGTAGTATGGCGAATTTCCACATGCATGCAGAAATTTTCCACCAATAGGCTGACAGGAAAGTTTGGCAGTGAAAAGAAGAACCCAGACATATCTTATTCTACTCTGTTTTTAATATGGTGAAATTTTCACTGGTCAAAGTATAGTTAGGCAGTAAAGTACCCTTCAGATAAACAAAGATCAGTTTTATTTCACAGAATGAATCCTTTTTGGGTGTTATCAGTTTATCCTTATGCTTACCGTCACTTTGAACTAGGAGTCGCTGACAAAGTCATTTAGGCACTTAACATTTCAATTCAAAGTCAGTCTGTACCTATCAAGTTTTCCTGCTAAAAATTGGTTGAATTTTCTCAAATGTACAAAGCTTTTTGAATTCAGTAAATCTTCTCAGATATGGTTGTGGTTACTGTGAAATGTCGTCCAGTAGGTTATGATGCTGTAAATAAATGTGAGCTATCCACTTACATGTGCATATGACATGGCATTTTTTTTCTCTTGTTTTGAACACTGATCACCAACATAAACAAATAAAGAATTCCCTGTATCAATAAAGTAGACGTCATCTTGTGTGATTTGTGAACGTGGTAGATGTCCTTCACACACCAGAGACATTTGCATTTTTCCTGTTTCATCTGAAAGTCTATCCAAACAGAAGATAAAAATAAGATTGATAAGTTATTTGTAAATATTTATCGTCAGCACTGATTCAACAAAAAGACAATGAGATAACTAATGTTTTGATTGTTGAGTTGAGTTACTTATAAAAATTAAAGTAGTATACATTTACCGCCAAAAAACCATCATATCAATCCGAGGTGAAGTTAACTACCCACACTATTCTATTATATAACAGTTACACTTGAATCTACATTCTGTGAACCATTCGCACATTGTTCAGTTTTTTTAGAGTGATGTCGCTGATCATGATAATTTTCCGATGGTGCTGCGATGATGTCATGCTCAGTATTTTCTGTAGTCAAGAAGGATAACTAAGTATGAATACTGAGTAGATGTTTTACCTCATTTTATGAGTGAACATTCTACTCATTGATTATATCAAGATATGCAAAACTTGTGATTAATTGGGTCGACTGAAGTTAAAAGGAGTCCTAGTGTCAGTTTGCATCCTGCCTTTCGACTTGATTCAATGAATACTATCACTGACCTAATGGTTTTCTTAAATCCCAAATTGACCAAGTAGATTACTCTACACACTATCTATGCTATTCTGTGGTTTGTATATGTATACAACACGTCTTCTCCAGGCTTCATTGCAGCATCCAAACAGGTTATTTTCCCATATGAACTATAGGAATAAGATGTATTGTGTTATACTCGCCCTATTCAAGGGGGCAGAAACTACCTGTTTGGTTGAAGACAATAAAGAGAAAGCAGAAGCTATGCTTGGATAAACTGAATAAACCAATGATGTATTTTAGACATTAAGTACTCTTGATGTAGAAAAATCAACGGACGGGATGAACTATATCCAAGATTGCTTATAGATCTTGTACTCTATGTAGCCGGTCCACTGACTACTATATTTAGACCGTCTCTCAATAAAGTCACACTCCCATATGACTGGAAGGATGCTACAGTCACACCTATCTACAAGGCAGGTTCTAGGCAGCATCTATCCAATTACACACCGACAAGTTTGACTAGTACTGTAGTAAAAATCCTAGAAAGAGTAATCAAGAAAGCCATCACGGTTCACTTAGAGAGCAACACTGTATTGTCTCGTTTACATCACGACTTTCACAGAAAACTCCTTATGGTCAGAGAAAGTTGAGTTAAGTCTAAAGATGATAGGATACCTGTAGATGTTATTTTCATAGAGTTTAGTAAGGCTTTCGACAAGGTACCTCATTCCAGGTTACTCGGGAAACTGGGAAGTTTTGAAATCACTGGCATTCTGCTTGCATAGATAAGAGAGTTCCTCATTGGTAAGAGACAAAGAGTAAGGATCAATTCTCAGATTTCCTCTTGGAAGTCGGTAGAGAATGGAGTACCTCAAAGTACAGTCCTGGTTCCTAGATCACGAAATCGCTTATGGTTCTCTACCTTGATGGTGTAAAAGTCTGGAGTGAAATTAGGAATAACGAGGATATACGTGCACTTTAGATAGATCTGAATAGCCTGTTTACCTGGTCAGAGAAGTGGCTCTTGCCTATCAGCGTAGGTAAATGTGTGAGCACGCACATGGGGCACACAGATGGCGACACCTGTGATAGTGATGAGACGCCTCTACTGTCAGTACTGACCCACAGTGACCTAGAAGTCACAGTGAGTTACGATTTGAAAACCATAGTACAATGTCGACTGGTAGCAGCTCAGAGTTTTAGAACACTTTGGGCATTACTCAGAACACGTACAAAAATAAGTGGTGATATGTTCACCATCTTACACATATCCTTAGTTAGGTCTAAACTCAAAAACTGTACACAGGCCGCAAATCATTGTCTGAAAATGACTCAGACCTTCTAGAAAAAGTTCAGAAGGCAGCCACTCATATGATCCCTGGGATGGCTGGCATGACCCATGAAGATTGATTTAAGGAGCTGAATCTCTTCTCTTTGTCACATTACGGACAAAGGGGAGATCTAATCATGGTGTACAGGATTCTAAGAAATGACTTCGAACCTGATCTACCCTGTCTTTTCCTTACCACTAGGTAGGGATGCCCCAGAGGATATAGTAGGAGGATACAAAAGCAAAGAAGGATCATAGTCTCCGCGAAGTACTGGTACTCTCATCGAGTAATCAACCCCTGGAACCAACTTCCAGAAGAAATGGTATTCTCATCATAAACTGACTCGTTCAAAAAGGATTCGACAAGCACAGAATTCTACTGGAGAAGGATTAATATAAGCTCACAGCCTTCTATCCTCAAACGACAAATCTGAATCTTTCAATGTGAATGTATCACTACCACATCTGTTGTTTAGAAAACTCTTTTCAGAAGATGATTCTAATGGGTCATGTTCGTAGCAAGGGCATAAGATGAACAACATTCTCTTACTTGAAACCATTTATTGGTTAACGCTTCTCGAACTACCAAGGACTATAAAAGACTGAACTTTTAGTGTGGATTCAGTTCACAAGCATTTTCTAACCTGGATTTAACAAGTTCATGCGCTTTGTTATAGAGTTAGTCATTCTTCTAGACTTACTTATGAATACCTGTACCATGAGTTAGAGCTTATCATCGAGAAGTTCATCATGAAGTATGTACCTAAGAATGGAGCCTTTTCCAAGAATATTGTGACGCACTTGAAATCAAGTAGCTTTTCCAGTTGAATCTGAATAATATATCGAATGTTTATTTACACTTCAATACAATCTTAAAGAAGTGGAAGGTTAAATACGCATTGGATATTTTCAAAAATCTCATACGGTGTGATGACCTTACAGGATGAATAAGTAAGGTAACACTTACCGATAAAGCGCTTTTTTCCCACAGCCATGTTGAATTTTTCGGTGATTTCAACATCTGGTAAGTTGGCGAGAAACTGTTTCTTAATATGAGATGAAAAAAGATGAACACGAAGAATTATGATAAGATGATGAATTTGTAAAGTAAATTATGCGTTGAAATAATCAATTCCCTGCTGTTGTCCACCTCGAACAAAATCTTATGCCGCATCATCCAATAGAGATTAAAGAATGCGCTGGATTCAGAATTACAACCGGAACAGGCTGGCTGGCTGCCTGGCTTCAAGAAGAATAAACCATGTGCGGATCAAATTGCAACTGTACGCATCATCATAGAACAGAGTATAGAATGACAGTCAACTATCCACCTCAATTTCATCAACTTTGAAATGGCCATCGACAGCGTCAATCGAGAAGTAATTTAGTAACTACTTCAACACCACGACTTTAGTGTCACAAATATTTATCAACCTCATTCAACAACTATATAAAGACGCAACATGCCAAGTAATTCACAATGGAAAGCTCAATGATGCTTTTGAAGTGAAGACAGGGGACAGGAGTAAGACAAGGCTGTCTATTATCACGCATGATATTCCTGATTGTGGTGGACTGGATCATGCGGCAAACTGTGAGGAGCGAGAAGACGGGCATACGTTATTTGACCTATGAAAAGACCTCAGAAGATTCAGATTTCACGGATGATTTGTGTCTGATGTTGTGCGAATTCGAAGATGAACAGGCGAAATCCAACAAGTTGACAGAAGAGGTAGGGCAGGGCGAGGCAGGGTAGAGAAGACGGGAGCTCCTTCAGATGAACGTAGAGAAGACAGAGGTGATGAAGATACCCAATCAACAACGGCATCAACAACAGCAAGCTCCAATCACCATGAACGGGAGGAACATAAAGGAAGTAGTCTGTTTCATCTACCTAGTTGAGGCAGCATCGTTTCATGTACAGGCGGCACAGGCATGGACGAGGACGTGAAAGCGAGGATCGGAATAGCACAACAGGCGTTCATCAATCTGAAACCAGTGTGGAGATCTACTACACTGCACTGCACTGCACTGGACTCAGCATGAAGTGTGAACAAGATCCGGATCTTCAACACTAACTTCCATCAAGTCAGTGGTGCTATGTGGTTCAGAGGCTTGGTGCGTTACGAAAGGCATTTCGAAGAAACTACAGATATTCATCAACAACTGCTGACTACGCTGACTGGATACTGAAGATGGAGATGAGATGGTCAGAATAATAAGAATAAGCAACAAGGAACTCTGGCTGGCTGGCTGACTGGCTGGCAAGGAACCAACGAAGCAAGAAGCTCTCGCTCAAGAAATGTGCAGAAGTGGAGATGGGTTGGGCATGGAGTGAGAAGACGATTTGGGGACAACACGCACCAGACGAGGTGGTCAAGTGGAACCCAGATGGGAAACGAGGAGTTGGGTGTCGGAGGTGAGGGTGACATGGAGGAGTTCATGTGAGTAAGAAATGAGAGGTTGTGGTGATTGGTGGAGGCAGGTTGAATGGAATGGAGGCGTGCGACTGAGCCCTTATGTTCCACTAGGAAGCCAAGAGAAAAATAATAAATAATGATGAAATGAATTTCGTGTGGGAACATCATCATTACTCAAACGGATTCAAGGCCATGCAGTTGATGTATCCTAAATAGGATGAAAAGCACCCCGTTTTGTATTCCAACATAAAACAAAATGTACCAATAAATCTTTATGTGATATTCAAGCTTTCAGACAGAAACCTGTTTGCCAAAAGAGGTTGATTAATTTCATTCAGCATAAAAGTTGGAATTTATAATGAATTATTAACAAATATTTCTTTTTATATTATGTAGTTATATGTCCTCTATGATAATAATATCAGCTGGGAGTTACTAGTTTCAGTAGTCAACTTCTGTTTAGTGGGTTAGAAGATCTAGTCTTATCCTCTCTTAAAAATGTTAAAACACTCAAATGGTACCATTAATTTTTAAACAAGATACACAACACTCATGAACTTCTCTATGATTTCGTATATGATCATTCAGTGAAGCTATTTTTACGTACATACAAACAATATGAAAGAAACCTTCATAACATATGAGAATATCATTGTAACCTTGTTATAACTAATGATTATGCATATTTTGATGTTAGACTGACTGAGAAGCTTCTTTCTGAACTGACTAAAAAGTATCTCTTCGTTGAAACTTTACAATCCTCTCCTTTTTTGTCTGAAAGGATAACTTTTACATAAATACAGTAAAGATTTTATGTATAAGGAGGGAATTCACCTAGTGGATCAAATAACCACCACCTAAATAGCTCGGGGTCGACATCTCTAACTACAGTAATGGGTGATGTAGGTTCAAATCTCTCAGGTGACGTCAGTCCCCTTGTTGAAATGTATAAATAAGCATGAAATAAGGATCCAAGACTTCCTATCAATTGCCAACAACCATCTAACATGAATCAAATAAATATTTTATGCGATGATTAGGAATATCATCGGAAGCTGGAAGTCAGTTTACAATAAAATTTGGTTTAACCAAGTTTCTTACTTCTCAACATTTTTCAGAAAAGTTTCATTCAGTGGTCAACTCACATTGAGACTTGAAGGAAACACTAAGAGGTGTCTATCATACCTCAGTAGTCTGGTGGATGATGTTCTAATGCTTAAAGTGACAGTTAGTTGAAGTCAAACAAAAGTTTAGTCAGCAGTCGTACCTCATAGCTCAGTTGGTAGAGTATCAGGCCAGAAACCCGGTGGTTGTTGGTTCGAATCCGACTGCGGTCCAAATCCTCATTTCCTCATTTCCGAGTTGCCGTAGCTCATATCACTACATCAAGCAAAACGGCAGTGAAGTGGAAGATGAAGAAGAGAAAATGCAGTCAAAAGAAATATAAAGTACGAGAAGAAAGAAAGGAAGAGTGACAAAATGGTGAGATTCGGTATAATCATTAAGATGAGGATAATGTGTATATACATCTGCGCCACTGACATAGGTTATCAGCTATATCATCTAGAGTCTCCAACCCCTGGTTCCTCTTGTCGTACTGACCCCAACCACCCAGTCTGCATCGCCCTACATAGCTCAAACCAACAGTCAGAGACTTTATACATTGGTGCCATGTTTTGGTCTGGCCACCTCGAGTCTTTTTCCAGTCTTGACCTTCTTCAGCCAACATTGTGTGATGAGGCAATCAGCGACTAGGCATACGAGACACATGTCTCAACCATCTCACTCGATGAAGGTTCTAAAATGCAAATGCGAATTCTATTCGAAAGATTTTGTGGAATACGATGGATGATTTTGAACACTTTGATCTTGTCTATGACATGATCACTGTGACAGAACTGAACTTGGTATTGACTTCACTTGTCCATTTTTTAACCAAGAATATAGGTGCTCAGCAACACGTTTACTATGTATTGTTCATACTTTACTAGTTAGATTGGAAAGGCAAAGTGATGAATATGCCTAATCAGTGTAATTTATTTGACCAAGTATATACAAGATATTGAGTTCTGAAGAGAATTCCACTAAATTATATTAGTTAGGTAGGGTGCTTAAGATTTTATGAGGTTGAGAGACGTTTTCATCGTGTACAGAGATGATTTTAGCTTATCAACTAATAAATCAAGAGTCTGCTTTTAATAAACCTTGAAAACTAAACTTGATTCTGAAAATCCCTGATGACAAAGCTGACAATCTTCGTTGCCTAATAAGAATTAGTAATAGTATGACAGAGAAGAAGAAAACGCTTTTATAGGTAGTATTCATCACAGAATGACATCATTTAGAGGACTACTGAAAACGTGACAGCACTGGACAACTGTCTCGTCTTCGTGTAGGACTCTTCAGCAGTATACACCCACAACTCGGCTAGGGATCGAACTCATGACCTTCAGGTTTTACGGTGCACTAGTTAACTATTCAACCATTAGGCCCTAGCAGTTCAGTGATCCACACTTCCAACTTCTGTAAATTCACGATATAGCCCGACTATCACTCAAAGTCTTCAGTTGGCATCCGTTTCACTTCCGACTAGTTTACTCTATAGGTAACGACTTCTCATTAAAACTTTGGGATATCCATCTGGTACCGTGCCTTCAGGTTTTTAATGGTTCTGTGACTGGTACCTTAAAAAACATCCCCATTAATCTCAAAATACAACAATAATATTAACAGGAATAGACTAACCATTTCATTGGATTTCTCATCTTCCTCAATTACTTCTGTTTTGCATCGTCCATTACGATCACTTTCCAGTTGTTGAAGATACTGTCCAGCCTGAAATGATGGCGGAAAAATTGTAGTTTAAGATGGGGATGACGATGGTTTGAGATTCTCTAAGTGTTATTAGTTTGGTAGTTTATCAAAGACATTTCAACACAAGGCTTTATGAAATCCTCAACACTAACTTCATAAAGAAGCGAAGTACATTCGAATATTACGCTAATGCTTAGATAGTGTTTTTGATGACCCTAAGTGCTGTCAAATTTTAAGTTAGGTGGAGAGAAATTTTGTCATAGCCTGATGTCTTCAACCTTAGATTTTCTTCGTTCATGCTGATAGAGGATCTTTGTTAGAGTGAAATTAAGCTACTTGTTGCCATCAGGCTGTGCGTTATTGATTATTTGTTTGGTCAGTTTTCCCTTGGTTGCTAGAAGGCTGTATTTATTCTTAAGTAGATCACACATTGGGACTATATCCATACGTCTGCTGATTGACTTTTCGACGGTAAGTCATACTTCTAGAAATTCTCTTGGAGCTTTGCAACCTGTTCTTTAGAGAATTCCCACTTTCTCGTAGTCGAATTTGTGTTCTTTGAAACCAAGGAGGCTGTACCATGTCACTTTACTGCCCGCTGATGCCCATGGCAAATTATCAAAGCCCGAAGAATACCGAATCACGATCTCTGTCCAGTCTGTTGGCAGCGATTGTAACCAAAAAAGGTATTAGAATAGCAGGAGATTCAATGATATTAGAATAGTGATCAGGGTCTTTTACTGAAGAGACCCAGATGTAAAAAAGTGGACTATTTAGGATCGTGTTCAGAACCGGAAAGATCTCACTGAAATCAAAGTGCTAAGCAGCTAGTGACATGATTGTTGGTGGTAGAAATGCTGCTACGAAACCCTTTTTCTCTCAACTTCATTTACAGTCATTTCTTAATGTTTCACAACCCTATGTGATCAGTTAGTCAACTTAACACTGCTTGGCAGATTTCAGTAGAGTGACGTAATACAATGTTTGAAATTTTGGACGAAAAATATGTCTTTTTAATGACTATGTGTTCACATTCATTGATGTTTATAATTTCCCGTTGCTATACTGAATCAAACTGCTTGACCTCTGTTGGCATATGGACTCCTATGTGAATTCATCGATGCTGCCCGAATATTTACTATGTTTTATTCATCTTGGTGCCTAACAGTGGGATCCGGAACACATATTTCATCTTATTTGGATTTCGTCAGCTGGATGTATATCCACCTTAGTGAGTGATATTTTTCCCACTGAGATTCAAATCTAGTACTCATCGCTTCACTTACCAAAGCATTAACTATTAGGGCACTGAAGCTGATGAGTTCAAAAAAAGACGAAACACGTATTCTAGATTCCACTACTAGCCACCAAGTATATCACAATATATGTTCGTATTGTTCATCTTTGATGTAAAGTATGATACCTGTATCTAAGATTTTAGGTCGATAGCTTAGAAACATTCAAAAATAACTTTTTTTCACTTACATTATTCTCAACATGACACTAAAGTGTGTGACAATCGAAGTAACAGTAATAACAATCACCAAGCGGGTTCAGTTGAGTATTCAGGGATATAAGGCTTGCAAAAGTTGACTGACTTCTTTACGTACATCAAATTTAGCTGCATCATGCATTTGGATACCTTGACAAACTTGAACGAAGTAAGTACGACCAGATAATACGCTAACTAAAACAGCTGTAAGCGCAGGTTAGTATAAGCACTTTGCATCAGAGTTAGAAGTTTATGTCTTGCGGATAAACTGGAGGAAGAACTAAAGATTTTTGAAAAGTGTCTTAGATAGAATGGATCTCCTGAATATCTAACTGATGAGAAGTAGAAGGCTTTTATTAATTTTGTATTTAAGGGGGATGTAATATCCTAGAGAATAAACATGAGAATGAAAGAGGTACTTAAAAAGGAAGCTTTCGTGTAGCTAAACTAGTATCAGTAAATGGTATCGAATGCTCATTGGGCCGGTTCAGTTGATCTGCTGATTTTACTTCCAACTACATTTATGAATCTAAATGAACTTGCGGCGACAATTACATTGAAAGCACTGAGAGCAGGACAACTATTCAGTTTACTGGGTATACTCTGAAGAATTTGTACTTGAAAGGAAGCAAGATTCCACCTAATAGGTAATGGGCAGATACCTCACAGACAAAGGAGATCACAGACACTACCACTGAACAACTTCAGTAGTTAGAAACCACTCAGGCTGATCTGTAGTATTTCTCCAGCCAGATTAGAGTGACGTAAACATTGGACGATCGGTTCACTCTCTTGGGGTCAAGCTCATCAGCGGCTAGCTCGCTAGCTGACTCGTATGATTCAGTTTATGTGAACTAGTTGGGCTGTATGAGCTGCGTTTGTCCGGGTAAAAAGCTGGTGAGCTCTGCTCCAAAGGAGCGAAACTGCCGTCCAGTGTTTAGATCACTCTAATCTGGCTAGTGAAATGCTGCAAACTAGCCTGAATGGTTTCTAACTACTTAAGTGGTAGTATTTTTCGCTACTTCATTACACTTTTGTGTCACACCTTGTGATCTCAGCTGAGTGGTTTCCAGTAGAAACCCTGTTGACACCACAGTCTGATGGAAGTTAAAAAACTACTCAGCTGTGGTAAATACCAGAATGGACCGTGACTGAACTACCAATCGTTGTGGAAGTAGTTCTTATAAAACGCTCTCATCTTGACCTCGGAACACAGAAGGGGAGTGTGGACAATGTCTTGCTTCCATAATGAACGTGATTTGATCTTGTTTCTTTTTAATTATATAATTCTTTGTTTTACTCACCTACTGTAAAACTTAAGATTATTAACTTCTCAATTTCTAATTATCGTATATACTAATAACTGTGGTACTCTTAGATTGTATACACGCTACTGAAGGATGTTCGTGAAATGAAATGATGACATTTTATTCTGCAAATCTACTCATTCTTGCTTTGATAAAACAATAAGAAGACGTAAATTGTCTGAACCGTGTATTTGTGTAACACAAACAATCTTATCATACACATACTTGTTATAGGTACTTATATGAAAGGTTTGTAAAGAGGGAAGGGGTGAGAATGTGGAAAGATGGCAAGTAGGAAGGCTGAAGTTAAAAATCCAATAACAATCGAAATCGATAGAGGGAAAATGGTAATACATCGAAGTTGGTTTTCATAGCTGAAATCACCAAGGGAGATATATTGGGATAAGAAATTGTTTCCGAACACACAAAGGTGGTTTAAACCTCCTAGTAGTTAAGGCCTCAACAAATTTAAGGGTCCATCTTCAACATGTTTTGTAAATAGGTCTAAAGGAAGCAGTTATGTCAATCCTGTGACCTGTCTCAACGATATGCTTTGCGATCGAAGAACTTGGACATCTGCTACCAATTTTTATAGGTTCAGGTGATTTAATTTGTTTTTGAAGCCACTTTGAAGTATGTTCCGAAGCCCTTACTTGAATGGATCTATGAGTCCTACCTATATATGTGTCACCAAACGTACATTTAAATTGGTACATGCAGTGGGATATGACATTGTCGTTCATATGCTGTAAGGGTTTGAGAGAATACACGGGTTTGGTGGTTTCTATTAATCAAATCCTAGCTACATAGTAATTCTTTTTAACAGCAGCGTTAAATCTCTGCCTAAGAAATGCACTAATAGAAGTGAAGAGCTGGTTTTCGGCGCCCTGGTCATTTTATGCTGCCGAATATATTTTGATGGACAGTTATTCTCCAGCAGTATTTCAATGTTCCTCTTTCGTCTTCCAAAGTATCATTTGTGCATCTTCGTTGGATTCTATTAAATAAGCGCCTAACTAACACTCACTAGTACTGAATTGGTCAAAATCTATGATAATATTGATGGACAATGGCTATCAGTGGGACCCAGGATACGCATTTCGTCCTATTTGGGGCTCTTTAGCTGGATGTGCCTGCCTTTCAGTGAGTGATGTTTTTCCCACCGGGATTCGAACTCAGGGCTGATCGCTTCAGAAGCCAGACAATATCGAGGCATCTACGCAGGAGCCGATAAGCCAATAGAGACCAATCGATTCATCCCGTCAACGACGGTATGATACAAGCAATAACACGCAAACCTATGATAGTTCAAATACTGCCCTGTTAATGTAGGTTTTCTGTAGATTGATTGTATTATGGATCCTTTGTGTCACCGACTAATTAATATGTCCAAGAAAGGCAAGCAGTCACCTTCCTCTCCTACGCATGTCAAGGACTTGCTGCTCTGCACTTCATTCAATCGGTTTAGAATTGTCGTGGACTGACTTGAGTTATCACAAATAATTAGGATATCGTCGAAATATCTTCGATATAGATGGGCTCGTTCAAATTTCGACTTTGATTACACTCTTTTACTATATTTCCCAACTTTTCACCTTTTCGCTTTGTGTGTTGAAGTTCTCTTGTGACGTGTGGTAACTTGACCCGTCACTCATTAACGCCAGGCGGAATATTGATGACCAATTAACCGACTGGTTGGGTTATCGGATGCAACTGATGGTGCGTTGCTGTAAACGTATTCTGCAAAACTCATTGAAAACCTTAGTTTATAGTTTTTATGGTAGAACTCTGTGTAATTGGTTTTAAGAGCTATGCTTCATCATTCACTATTGATGATTACATTGTTGTGTTCTTTATAAAAGGAGCGTTTTGTTTTAAGAACAGGATGATGTTAAAAGAGAGGAAATATACTATTTCAGTAATATACATAGACGACTACTCTTATCAGTTTCTGCTGAAGTAGATATCAATCTCTACCCCCAAGCACTGATTATGATTTCACAGCTAGAGGGTGTAGTAATGTCCAGGGAGATGAGATTTCTCTTTTCTTGGTGTTTATTTGATAGAATTCCTAGTATCTTCAAACCTGGAACTCATTTCTTTCTGCTATGAAGTTATCATACGCCAGGTAAGTGACTAAAATAAGACAATTTCCACCCTCCAAAGACTATTTTGTTCGACTGAAATGAAGCATTCTGCAGCTCAAAGGTGGTGACTCGTGTAGGCTTCGATGCAGCAGCCTCTGGACAATTGGATCAGTGTTATACTGACAGAACCTGGAGACCTGGCCTCTAGCCAAGTGTCTAAATATGAAGAGTAGCCTAAAAGCAAGAATCATATCAAACAACCTGAGATTTTATCCACCAGTGGTACCTCATCTCTAATTTGGATCGCCTCAGACTTCTTGGAGAGCTGAGTTGGAAGTTATCGTAATCAGGTACATGGAATCATGAATCTCTAAGCTAAATGATAAAATAATCAAGCCATAGGTGTTTACAGTGATGTTGAGAACAGCTATCAGTTAGGTCTCAGTCAGAAGAGCGCCAAAGCCGTTGTGTCACATTCTGTAGTCTCTCAGACTGTTCATTGACTTCAGCCATCCCTATCTCTGAATATGAGTGTCTGGAAAATTTTTATCTATCCATCAGTACCTGGACTATTCTCTTCTTGATTTGTAAATAACATGGTCCTGACTTTGTAGTATTTTATTAGGCATCGAAGCGTTCACCATGCACAATAAGATTGGAAGTAACTGAAAAATTTTTTCATAGATGACACGAGTACAGGAAACATGTGGATCACCGGATTAAGTAAACAGTTTTCAGAAAAAAGTTAATGGATTCATGTCTAACTCAACCTGTCTCAGTCTAAGCATCTAGGCAATAGCAAGACAGTGTACAGCTTGCAAATCAGTGCATAAATATGTAATGGGTTAAGCTGAGGGGCAATTAACGCTGTTAGGGTGGTTTAGACGTTGACTGGAGATTTATAAGGTTTCATTACCACTTTAGTAATGTGGAAATATTTTTTCTAGCCTCTAATGAGTCTGAGTGACATTTCACAAGGAGGCACTCAGGAGTAGTCAAAAGTTGTAGAGTAGCTGGTAAAATGATGGTGCATCGCATAAATGTTCATTGTTGGACAGTTGCCTCTTGTAATGTCCTCTTCAGAAGCTTTCATCTGTTAAAGCCAGGGAGTTGAAAGTAAGAATATATGTTCACCGCTAATACATTAGAACTCTACTACTTCATTGCAGGATGGAAACATTTAGAAGGAAATATTCGCTATCTTGGTGGCGAATTCGAACCAATATACCTTTAAGTTAAGTATTTAAAAGGAGTAAAAATCTATTACTTAGGTGGTTAGAGGCTAACCTGAAGTAACTTTTAACCTCCCTCAGGTTTGGACCTAATTCACCTAGTGTTGCAGTCATAGGTGTTACCACTGAGCTTCTGTAAGACCGGATTAGATCCCTTGATAGGTCACCGAGAGCAACGAATTTCATACTGTTTAGTCTTAAGTACTGAAATAGTTCTTCTGGTCACTTAGTTAAGAGAATCGCCATCGTGTTGCACTTTGATCGATGTTACATGGTTAGAGACAGTTGGCAGTAAACCCTAGACCTATGTTTCATACTAACTGCCACTAGACAGCATGGAACTAATTACTCTTCAGTGACCAGTTGAACAAGAGACTTATATATTAGTGAGCAGTTCCATAGGGAGAAGCGTAAAACTGTTTAAAGTCCCCTTATCTTCAACAACAATCCAACCAGTGATAATCTGCATCAATATCAGCTTCATAAATCTACCAGATGAGCATCAATCTGGGTAGAATATCACGCAGAATGGTAGTATTTAACCAAGCCAAAGTCTACTATCATTTAATCAAAGTTATATTAGAAGCCTGGAATAAAACTTATATCAAAAGTGTAGTTCTAAAATGTAGCACAAAGTATAACACTTACTCTGAAGCGTTCATCTTTACTTGACTTGCTACCATTCCACTGATAAGCAGATGATCCAAAATCCAGTATAAACACATCATTTGAATCTAATGATCTTTTTGAATACGGCACTTCTCTTAGTTCAATATGTGAACGATCAATATCATGAAAATGTAAAAGTCTTGGAATGAATTCATTGGTTTTAACACGATTGAAACCACTTTCATATCCACCTTCAAGTGTCCTATTGTATATCAGAAAAAAGAGAAGGTGTAAATCAAATGGAAGATTGAATAGTGGTTTTGTTTACTAATCAAAGTAGCAGTAGAATCTAGGACGCGCGTTTCGTCCTATTCGGGACTCGTCAGCTGGATGCACCTGCTTTCCAGTGGGAAATGTTATTCCCAGTAAGATTAAAACCCAAAACCAATCTCTTTAAATGCCAATGCGTTATCCATTAGGTTATTGAGTTATGATAGACACTTCTTGTGCGATGGGTATACTCTTTTGTGATGTTGCTTGTACTATCCCATCGTTGATTGGACCCAGTTGATGGCATATCTTTGAAATATTTAGTTCATTTCACCAATTTCAGTAGAGTGTGCATAATAAGTTTTGTAGGATTCATGGATTTGTCATGTACCACCATCTTCACTTCAATCGTTGTCAAAATTATAACATAATGAATCTTTAGGTAATACCCAGGTATCCGCATAGGAGCTCCAACATATCAACAGACGTCAGAAGGTTCTATCCAGTATACAAATGTCAAATTACAATAACCTTGTGCATAATAAATGATACCCATTGCATAAAAGACGTCTCTCGTGACTTCTTAGCCTGACTAGAACGACTATGCTGCCTGAGGCGATGGGTGTTGCATCGGAATCTAAGTAGAAACATCATCATCTACTGACACGCATGCAAATCCAGCTAACAAGTTACAAAAGAGGAGGAACGAACCTCCTTGATTTCATTGCAAGTTACCAGAAGGCGAATTACACCAAAATGAATCTTCGGGTAATATTGATGCATCAACATAGTAGCGTATATGCCAGTAGTAGTCAATACATTTCGTTTAGTCAACAATGTGAAGGGCCTTCGTTATAACACTTAAAGTTGGGAAGGAATAAATTCAATTTCAGCCTTGTCAACAATTTTGCGTAGAGTTTCTGGTGTTTCTTCCTTATATGGTATAACGATAGACACCTTGAACCCCCTTCTACTTGTACCGCCATTATTATTTATATCCATATAACTGTTATAACTTCGTTTCTTATGTGTTCTTAGAAAATTATAGATAAACTTCATAGGATAAGTATTAATTATTAATGAGGGATGGTTGATGGTGGAATGAAAATTTGGATTGTGGCCAAACTCAAACCAGCGACCACTGGGTTTCCAACCCTATTCTCTACCAACTGAGCTACGAGGTACAACTACTGACCAGATTTTTTTATTTCACTTTAATCATCATGGGTTTTTCCCGATTACCATCTGAATTCATGATGCCAGTGTGAATACGATCATGCGATAGTAATGCGCCACGAGTTCAAATGGTATTCAGGCAAAACCCATGGTGATTGAAGTGAAATAAAAATCTGGTCAACAGTCTGACCTTGTAGCTCAGTTGGTAGAGGATCTGGTCGTAACCCGGTAGTTGTTAGTTCTAGTCCGTCCGCAGTTCTGATTTCCACACACCTTCAATCATCACGTAGTATAAATACTAGTCTGCCAAACCAAGTCAAAATGATAAGTAATGTTTAGTAGTTTTGTATTCATATGTTTCAATTTCTTGTTCCGTGTAGTGACTGTGATGTCAAGTACATAGGTCAAACTAGCCAATCGAGGTTAGTTAGATCATTGCAAAATAGAAGTTTAGCCAATTATAGGAAGCTTGAGCTGAATAAGATCAATAATCTAGGAAAAATCTCGTCCATTGCAATGACTGAACTAACATACAACCACGCAATAGGGTGGTATATAACCACTGCACTCAAGTCCAATATAATTAGGTGGAGAGACAGACAGAGAGAGAGAGAGAGAGAGAGAGAGAGAGACATACAGACAGACAGACAGACAGAGTGGTTACTGAATCTTTGTTCATCGAACCAACATCCAATACTTGTAACAGGAATGACGCAAAACGTATGCCAGAGATGTGGTACTAAAAATAAGGGCGACTTTAAAGGCCAGCTCAACAACTGACAAAATAACCATTCAGATTGTTGCATTTTGGCTGGATTATGCTTCTCGATTATAGTGGACTGGATTATGAAAGAAACTGTGAGGAGGGAGAAGATGGACTTACGCTGTTTGACCGATGAAAAAACCTTAGAAGATTTGGATTTCGCCGATGATTCATGTCTAATGTCGCACAAGCTCAAAGATCTACAGGCAAAATCTAACAAGTTGACAGAAGAGGCAGGGCAGGGTAGGGCAGCGAAGACGGCACTTCCTTCAGGTGAACGTAGAGAAGATAGAGGTGATGAAGATATCCAACCAACCACCAACAACAACAACAAGCACCAATCACCATCAACAAGAGAAATCTAAAGGAAATAGTCTCTTTCACCTACCAACTAGGCAGCATCTTTTCATCTACAGGTGGTGGCATAGATGAGGATGTCAAAGCCACGATCGGAAAGATAGCAAGACAGGCCTTCCTGCATTAATCTGAAATCAGCGTGTTGACATCACGCGCCAGGCCAGGCCGTCAAGCTGAATCCAAAGGGGAAACGACAAGTTGGGCGTCCAAGGCGAGGGTGATATGCAGGAGATGGTGTGAGGAAGAAATGAGAGCTTGTGAGCATTGGCGGAGCCAAGTTAAAAGGACTGTAGGGAATAGAATGAAATGGCGACATACTAGTGAAGTCCTATGTTACACTAGAAACCCAATATGAAAATAAAATAAATGAAAATTTTGTCTGAGAAGACAATATCTTATAGAATAGAGAAACGTTATTGGTTGTTTCATCAGTTGCTAGGGTGGCCTTTAAAGTCACTGTGAAAACGAGAAATATAAGGTGATAGGACTATAAACACCAGTTGTCGAAAGCTGTGTGATTATGAGGAATAATTTATGCTCGAAACGCATCCAGTAGATAATACAATATTATTTTGAGCTATATCACATAATCAAGTTTTATATGGAGCTTACGAATTCCAACTTGAGGTCAATTTCCTTTCCATTCAGCACACCATGTAGTTAAGATTTTATACAAGATACTTTGCCAATAAACTGACCTAGGAGAGGTGGTTCTAGTGCCCCAGGGGCCTAGTGGATTACACTTTGGTATTTGAAGTGATGGACTCTGGGTTCGAGTTTCAATTAGAAACAACATCACTTACTGATGTTCAGATGCATTCAGCTGACAAATTTCACAATAGAACGAATCAAGCACCTTCGATTTGACTGTTAGTCAAATTTCTCGGTAGAATATTATGATATCTCTAATCTGTTTCATTCAGTGTTAAAACTAAATATTAAGGTGACAATTTTATAACTTCTCTCAGATTGTAGACGATAACAGTTATGTTCAAAATAAGAAAACAGTGTGTACTGAAGAAGTTTCATTATGAAGTGACATGTTAGTTAGTATGTGTCTAAGACAGATTCCATTACTTAAAAACTTTACACATGTATTACCCAACTTCATGTTGTAAATCACGAGCCGTTAAATTTGGCGTTTTCGTAAACTGGAACAAAGAATTCCAAACATTAATACGTCTCTCTCTAGCTTCGAGAGATAATTCCTGAAGTTCAAATGAGGAGTAGTGACCAGTGGGGCAAACCAAGTCGAACACAAAGATAGTTACTCAGCGGCGGCATTAGACTGAGGTTGTACTGTATCATGAACTGAAAGAAGCAGGATATATGGACCATTGTATTCCGACCCAATGGATCAATAGTAACATACTGGCTATGAAACCTGAAGATCCTGGATTTGACCCATGGCACGGGTCATGGGTGCGCATTGCTGAGGTGTCCCATATTTGGATGGGGTGGGATGTCCAGTATATTCTGATGTCAGTCCATAATGAATACCAACCTGAAATAAATAAATCTCTACAAACCTGGAAGTTAAGTTACAAATGTATGTAACTTTGAGCTTTATGTTGACATTGTTAACGATATACTACCAGCCTACATCACTCCACTGACGTCGGTTGACAAGATTAATACTGGCAAAGTTGTACAACTATTTGATGAATACAGTTTGGAGGTTTGTGAGGATATATTGACTTGTATCTGATATTCTTCATGGACTGATATCAGTTGCCAAACCGTTGAAAAGAAACTTGGAGGCACTGGACATCTGTGTCGTCCCAGAAAGGGACTACTCAGCATTCCACTTTACCCCTGAGTCGGAATACAACGTTAAACATGTGTCAAAGTTTTCATTGATAAATTTCATATCTACCACTCATTAGTAGCATTAAATCGTATAACCAAAAACAATCTGCCATTTTTGAGGATGAACTACTACTGATATTTATCCTGATGAGTAGTAATGGAGTTAAGGACACACGTTTCGTCCTATCTGCGACTTATTAGCTGAACATACTTGCATCCCAGTGAATGATGCTGTTCCCACTGAGAATAGAACTCAGCATACATTATTTGAAATGCCACAGCATTATCCTCTAGGCCACTGAAGCATGATAAGATGATACATGCCTCGTAAATTTCACTACAGATCACTAAGATGAATATCCACCGGTATGAAGGCTTCTTCATATGAACGTATCTGTCAACAACAGAGGTTGAGCAATTCAGCCATGTATAGTAACGGGAAATTACAAGTATTAAGACAAATATTACGGAAATGCGAGAAAAAAAGTCTTCTTTCTGTAGGTTCATCTCTGCATAGTGGTTGAGTATAGTCAAAGTGGTTATATATTTTATGTATTGTATATTTCAGTGGTCTTATTGAAATATTATCTAGTTCATAAGGGTTACTAACAATCAATTGGTATATTTGAATACATGATATTCACCTTATCAGTAAAACAAAACATTTTGGGCGTATATTTGAAAAGCTAAAGTGATAGTACATGTTTACAACTCTTGTTGTTATTGACAACATAATAACTCTGTATACATTGAAGATAGATGAAAGTCAGATTTGATGAATACTTAAGGGTAAAGGTATACACCGTGATAATAATAATAATAATAATAATTTATATGAAGGCGAAAATATATTTCTAGTAAATGTATTTCTACACAATATCAAATTT